ATATACTCCAAGCGGCAACCACTACTCTCCTGTAGACATTTTGTTCTGGGAATGAATTTAAGAACGTAACCAAACTTGTGGAAGAAATCTGACATTTAGGACTGGGGCTGAAAAGAACAAACATTATTCTAATAAATGCCATCTATCTGACCCTGGGCCACAAGTCACATATCATCTCTGGATTATTTCAAAAAAGTGATCAATCACTTTTGGGAAACACTATGTGCAAAAAAACACATTAGCAAAACCAAAACAAACGGGGCGCAGTGTTTCAGATGCAGGCCCGCATGCCCAATTTAGTTATTCACTGCAAATGCGACCTGGTGAGCAGTATGAAGAGCTGAACCGCCAACACAGTGAAAAACAGAAAAAGAAAAAGAAAAAGGCGTGCCATCTGAGAGTAAACCCAACTATCTGCCTTCTAACAAAGAGCCGCTTTTATTAACCACTTTCAAACTCGGGGGACACTGCGTTCGTCTGAGATGAGTTGACTTCAGTATCAGGCAAGAGCTTTAAGCACTATCCAAGCAGTCCACCGGCTTTTAGGGAAGCACAGAGGCTGGCCTAGCACCGCCGCCAAGAGATGTGTGCACTCATTTAGGGCTTAAACCTTCTCCATTAAGCTCTATTGAAGAGCAACTGCTGAATAAATGAAGGCAACTATGTTTATGTTAAAAGCCTGTTTCCCGCAGCATGTAATTAAAGGAAATGTTGTACAAAGCCAGTACTTTTGTCGAGCTCCTGTAAATGGAAAGATGGATAGCACTCAGAGAAGTGAATGCATTGCTTCATATTTAACCTTAACACTCTTGTCATTAATGGTTTGTCTAACTTGTTCTATAAAAGACAAGGTACTGCTCCATTGAAGTAAAATTTAAAAAATCAACTAAACCATGCTTTTCAGAACAGAAGATTCATTATCGTCAGCTAATGTATTGGCATAAAGCAAAGTAACATCCTATCAAGGAAGGCACACATTCAATCTGCCTGCCCACCCCCCTTTATTTTTAACTCATGCTGTTTTATTGTTATAGGCAATTTGTACCACTCAGCATGACAGTGTAAACGGAATCAAGATTAATTTACATGCAAAAGAACACTTAGGGGAGCCGCATGGTAAGCAAATGTATTGTCTCGATTGCTGAGGTGGAAAAAGAACCTGGAAAGGAAAAAGGTGCTCTAATTAAGGGGCATCAAATATGATTGCTTGTGGTAGTTAAGGGCCAGAAAATAGTAAATGTCTGACCATTTAAAGAATTAGCATCTTGCTAGCTAGGAACCCCAGAAGATGGACGCATAAATCATAATAAAATTAAGTAAACAGTGAGGGCTTTCTTCCCCCGAATGAAAATACATCAGGTGTTCTCACATTCACAAGAAGAGAAAATCTGCCGAGGTGCCAGGGGAAAGTTTCACCTGCAGAAACAGACATCCGGACACTGGGCGGCTGGAGAATGCGCAATACAAGTAAAACTATTGGGAAAATATTTTTTGTCACAATATGGATTTGTTGCTCCATTAAGAATGATCTAATTTCTGGTACAGGTAGTGGATAGCATTTAATTTAATTTAGCTGTAACTAATTGCTATACTGTAATCTAAAAAATGTAAAATATTTTAGTGGAATAACATAAAAAATAAAAATAAATGTTTTCAAATTTTCAATTTAATTCAAAAGGAGGGAAAAAAACCCCAACAATCCCAACACAACATTGAGTAAAAGAAGGCAGCATCCAGCATGCAATCGGCTCAGGCCTCTTAATTAGTCTTGTCCAAGGAACCCAGATACATATATTTCAATAATCTACACAGATATTTGAAGTAAACAAGAGGGATCCCGTATGATAAGTTATGAAAGCATCCACAGTTAGGTTGTTAACTATCTTTACAATATGCAAAACTCAGAAACAAATTCATGATATGAATAGTTATCAACAACTTCAATATAAATGATAAACCCATTTTCCACTTAGCAGTTTGACTATAAACATACGTGCTTAGTCATGGGACCTGAAATAACAAAACTGATTAAAAAATTAATATGTATACTCTGTATGAAGCGTTCCTATTAAATACTGATGCACCATTAAATTAGACACGCCATTTGTATGAAAATAGAACTGGAAAAAAAAAAAGAAAATAGAACTGGATTCCCTATGAGTTCCTTCTAAATTAGGATTTAAACATACGAATTTATAAATAAGCTACCACTTATTTCCTACGGCTGAATCCTAATTAATATACTTAAGGCATTTCTTGAGTCTTAAAATACATACCATGTAAAATGTGACATTAAATATGTAAATTGGTTTTGAAGTAAAACAAGAGGTCAAACGGCATGGAAAGAATGACACACATACACACCTCTTCATGTTTATTTATATTGTACCTTCCAGAACTTTGCCAGGTAAAACCTGAGGAAATGGATTTTTATTCTGAGTTCATCTTTCCCATTAGTGAGTTAGTTATTCCTAGGTATCTTTAGTGAAATAAACTGAGCGTTACTTGGAACAGGGAAACAAACAAATCCCTGTGTAAAGTTGTGAATCGAGACCTCTATTTACCAAACCAGCGGAAATCTCTCACTCAAAAGATGCTGCTGAGAGACGCTTGAAACTGGCGGTAAATTTACCGGCAGCAAGTCCCACATCACAGAACGAATTCAGGAAGGCAGAAAGAATGATACAGAAATGCCAAGAGACTTGCAAGGATTTACAAATACTTCATATAAACAAATTTTCAAATAGCTTTATTCAGAGTAGCCTTTCTGCTCTATTAAACATAGCAAACAGCTGCCAGATTTATTCAGACAAATAATCAACAACCATAGGAGTAAAATGGCAGAAGAAAAAGGCATTTTGGCAACAACTCCACAGAGGACCACGGCTATTCTCCGAGTGCACCTCCGTCACGCACTTGCGGTTCTGTCTGGCTGGTCAGGGGAAACCCCTGTGTCACCGCAGAGCACAGAACATTTGATCGAAATATCAAGTGCAACTACAACCAAGCTGAGGGAGAAAAGGGCACATGAGAATCTGCCGCCTCTGATAAAGACCTGACTTGCAGTTCTCAACAAAGGGAGAATCCCCTTAGCCAGAAATGGGCCCCGGGCTCATTCGGTCACTTGTGCGCCACTCACCTTGGTTTGCTGAGCAGGTGTGAAGCAGACGCAGGCTTTAGCCAGCAAAGGGTAAGAATAGCAAATATAAGAATCAATTCAATTTGTCAGGGAAAAACAAAACCACAAAGGAACATTTTTGTCTATAGCAAGCACCTACTTCCAAGAAAAGCAAATACAAAGATGGTTTTAATTAATTTTTCTGAACACTTAAAAATACGGCATGGACGCGTAGTTTTTTTGTTTTACTAGTTTTACTGGTATGAGGTTCTCACTGTAGGATTCTTTTATAATGTATCTTTTACCACAGTGGGCAGCAAAGGATTATAGTTCATTGTAATAATAATAAAAAGGCAAACAACCAAAAAGCAACAACACGGCACTACGAAGACAGCAGGGGAAGGACCCCTCCCATGCCGACTCTGTCTGAGCCCAGCACGCGAGGTGGCTGCTCTGAGCACCTGTTCAGGGCACAATTTTAAAACGGTCCATTTATGGCATGTTCTGACAACATAGTGCTTCTTTAACATAGAATCTGGTAAAAAGAACACAGGTATTTTTGTGCACTTTTCGAACTTTATTTTGGAAGAGTAAGGCCCTCTAATGTGTGGAGGGAAAAAGACATTAGTAGTGTGTGAAAAATGGTTCTATAATGGAAGAAAACGCAGCAACGCAACACTTATAGTGGGAGGACTTTGGTGGGTGCCACATCCCTGGAATTTTCACTGATTCAAGGCACATTAGCAGGCCAGCAGGCCGATTGAAACACAACTCCCAGGATTAAAAAGTTGATTTGGAGTCACTTTCTTTTAAAGACTATTAATCCATTTTCAAGTATACCTGGAAGATGGACAAGCACACCTTTGTAAGAGCAAAACACTAGCCGAAAACGACGCATCTGTTAATGTGCGGTCGTTTGTTTTAGACACTGGCTAGGGAATAAGCACCGAGGAGTTGGGATTCAAATTTATATTAAATAGTACTTATTTCTCACCTTGCTCTTTCTTAAAGTCTTTCTCAGACAAGGCCACGGGCAAAAGGAGTTCTCCAACAGGTGGCTGGATATTAACACTGAAGCAATCATCCTTGGTACTAAAGAGAGAACACATCAATATATTTAGCTGATGAAATTGTTTAATAAACAAGCATTCTTAATGTGATGCGGCTAAGGAGATGAAAGTTAAGCATATGGCAACATATAGATCCTACTCGTAGTGGGTTATGCACTGGACTGCCAACCACAAGGTTACCGGTTTGAAACCACCAGAAAGATGAGGCTTTCTGTCCCAGTACAGACCAACAGCCTGGAAGCGCATTGGGGCAGTTCTCCTCTGCCCTCCAGTGCTGCTCTGAGTCGGAACGAATTCGATGGCAGTGGGTTTGGTTTTTTGGGATCTCCCTTGGCTTCAATATCAGTTAAAAAAAAAAAAAAAGGGCCTGAAAAGTTTCTCAGCATATTTCCACCAAAAATATGAAGTTACAATCATATGACACAGAATTAAAAAAACAAACAAGCAAGCAAGCAGCAAGGGTAGATGGGGACTTTAAAAGATCATGGGAAAAAACCTAGTATCTTTTAATTCCACTTTTTTCATGACCTTTTTGAAGCACCCATGCCTAACCACTACCAGAGGAGTACTTCAAATAATATTTGATCTTCTTAGTGTGCCTCAAGTGTAGAGGATGAAGTGATTTAGCCTTAAATGGGTAAGAGACTATTTGAGAAAATTTGATTTTTTCCCCATAAACAATAAAATAGGAGTGATCACACCGTTTAGGTAGGTGCTGATTAAATATCCCATCTGCAATATTATTTCTTAAAAAAAAATCTGTCTAGTTGTAATTATGTGCAACTGACTAGATTTCCACTCAGAGCAACCAGGAAGGGCAGAGTAGAATTGCCCCAAAGGGTTTCCCCCTAGGCTGTCATCTTGGAAGCAGATCACCAGGTTTGTTTGTTTTGTTCTGTTTTCCCTCTCCTGAGGAGTGGCTGGTGGGTTCGAGCTGCTGACTTTGTGATTGGCAGCCCAGCACTTAACCATTGTGCCACCAGTGCTCCGTATTTTCTCGTGGTCACTAACATTATTGATCTGCATGTGGGCAAAGCTATTATTTCAAATTACAACTCTGTACCTACCTCACATTGATCAATATTGAGTGCATTTATTTTGTTTAAATCCCATGACGGTACTATCAGTTAAAAAACACTAATCCTGCTTAAACATTTTAAAAAGTTAGATGCTTTCTTAGATGTCTGAAGCCAAGTAGGTAAGTCTATCAATCAGGAATGTTTGGCTGCAAATCTACACACTATCCAACCAGCATTTTCTGGGAGTTCATTCCCATAGTAGTGTGCAAGAAGTGTGAGCATCAGCAACAGCTGGATCAATGGCTTAGGGACGCTTTTCGGGACTCAGGGGTCTCTAACTATCCTTAGAGTGCCAGTGTTCATCCTCATGGCTGCTGCCTCTCCAGGCGCCAAGTTCACGTTCCAGCGAAGGACAGTGAGTGAGGGGGCAGGAGCAGGGACCCTCTGAGCCAAATGCACGCCTTTCCCTGTGGAATGGACTTCTAGTTTATTGTTTTCCAACGATTAGTAGGAAAGCGACTAGGGAGATAGAGATTGTAGATAATAAAGATCTAACAGCTATATTAAGAAATACTTGGAAGTTTACTGATGGAGGATTGGAAGGGCAGAGATAAATGATACATTATGAAGAAAATACCTAAAATCCAGTTTTATTTTCTGTTATTATTTTGCGTGATCTTTATAAGCTTCTCTATGTCTTGCAGCCATGTCTCAATCCACCTCGTTCAGGGTCTTCTGTTTTGCTGCCCCTCTACTTTACCAAGCATGAGGTCCTTCTCCAGGGGCTGGTTTCTCCTGATGACATGTCCAAGTACTGAGAAGAAGTCTGGTCACATTTGCTTCTGAAGGAGTATTTTGGTTGTCCTTCAACGTCAATGGCACATTCACTCTTCTTCAACACCATGAGTCAAAGACATCAATTCTTCCGAGGCATCCTTATTTCAACGTTCAGTTTTTGCATGCATATGAGGTGACAGAAAATTCCATGGCTGTAACAGGCACACCTTACTCCTCTCACAGTGACAACTTTGCATTTGAACCCTTCAAGAATCTTTTACAGTTGATTTGCTCAATGCAATATGTTGCTGGGTTTTTTGATTGTTGCTTCCATGGCATTCCTTGTGGACCCAAGTGAGATGCAATCTGGGATGACTTTAATGCTTTTCTGTTTGTCATGATGTGGTTTATTGGTCCAGCTGTCAAAACCTGTTTTATGTTCAGCTGTGAACCACATGGAGGGCTTCAAGTCCTTTTCATTTTCAGCAAGCGAGGTTGTGCCATCTGTATATCTCAAGTTCTTACTGCGCCTTCTCTAATCCTGATGCCTAGTCCTTCAGAAAGCCCAGCTTCTTGGATCATTGGCTTAGCATGTACATTGAATTGACTAAGTGTGCACAATGAAACACAGGAAAGCACCTTTCTGGTGTTCTCTGCTTTCAGCCAAGAGAATTTGATAATTTCCTCTGTCTGTTGGATTGCCTATCTCTGAAATAAGCACAAATATGGAGCTCTTTCAGTCCATTAACTGGACGTTTCTTGGCATCGATGACTAAGTGCATCCAGCATCGCATCCGCTGAACAAACAAACAAAACATTTCAATTGCCGTTCTGTCGGTTCTTGCAGCCTTGTTTCCCACCAGTGCCCTCAGAGGACTGAGGGGTTTCCATTTCTTACAGACCATCGTTTCGATCGTATGTTACCTTCTCATGTTGTTGAATGCTGCTCAGGTTATTTTTGGTATAGGGATTTGGTGCATTACTTTCATTTTCTCTTGATGCTTCCTGCATCACTCATTAAAAAAATATTTCATTGTTAGCTCCCTATTTCTCCCCACCCCACCCCACATCCACTTTGCCATGCCTTTTTCCAGTTACTGTTATATAGATTTACCTTTCCTGGATTTCATACACAGATAATCATACAAAACAAAACACAGTCACACAAAGTAAGCAAGCCCACAAACAAACAAACTTAACAACAATGACCAGAAAAGAACAGATAGCCCTCAGCCAGAGAGAAAGCAGAAAATATTAAAATCAGAATCAAAAGGAAGATCAAATGATAGGGTATTACATTTTAACCTAATTACATCTGCCATAATTGACTTTCCAATGCTCCCTGTATAACAATGCTATTTATATCCCCGACCTATGTGTGTTCAGGAGGGGATTCACCAGAGACTTAATCCATGTAGGGACCTGCAAATGGATTTTGGGCTTCCAGTGTCCTTCCGTCTTCTGCAAACCATGTGTTCACCATTTGAGCTCTGAAAGAATTCCTTCTGAATTTGGGTTCTATTGTCTTTTTTTTGTTTTCCTCTTTGGTCCACGGAACCCTTCACTATCGAATCCAAAGCTTGGCTCTTTCCCCCACTTTCAGCATGAGGAACGGTGACGGCCCCTTTCCTTTTGGCTTTCTCAGAATTCCAGCTCTTGGCACATTTCATTATAATACTCTATTCTGTCTTTCCAAGCTCTCCTTTGAAATATCTTGTTCAGTTCTTTTGGTTCATCATATTTTCCTCTTTAGCTACTGTATATTCAAGAGCAAATTTCAGAGTCTATATAACAGATCAAATTATAATAATCACAAAGAATTAATCTACAGGCTGTAAGAGGATCATTTTACTGTGGTTTCTTTTCTTTTAACAGGAGTGTAACTGAAAGCATTAAAGTTCCATATTCTCAGCACTTTTTTTATCATCATATATAATTTTATTTCTCATAATTTTAATGTATCGCATCATATAATGTATTTAGAGGAAAAAATTCAATATCCACCACTCTTGCATTGCCCCCCCCCCTTTTTATTGAACTACCAAGTCTAACACAGCACACCACCAAGCAAAAAGTGCTATTTACTATGCAAAACGCACAGTCAGTGATTGGCATCTAAGTTCAATTGATCTACCCATTACCACTATCTCCCTACCCCCACCAGCACTACTATGAAGGTATTGATTTAAACACTGTCGATCGGTTTCCATTTTCTGATTTTGGGCAGGCCAATTAAGAAAGTGAGTAATTGTGATTACATTGCTTCAGGATCAATTACAGTTGATGTAAAACAAAGTGCTCTTTTTGGAAAACATGAATAAATAATTTTTGATCTAGCATGCTTTCATGCTTAATAAAATATCTAATAAAACCTAAAATAAATACCAAATTGTACCTGCACAACAGAGAACTCTGAAAACAAAGAATATACACATAAGAAAAATATTGATGCAAACACTTATAATTGCTATGGCTATTATCTATATAAAATAAATCCATCTTTTTCTGATAATTAATTTCGGCGAAATTAAAAAGAGAATAGTTCAGTTGCACTCCACAATATCAAATCCAATCAAACACTGCCTACATGTTCATCCCCACAGGGACTTGTTCAGTTATAAAAGGCAAAGTGCAAATCCTGCCCAATGGATTACAAAGGAAGTCTTTGTAAGTAAAAATAGTAAAAAATCTCTTGAAATAAAAATGGAAGTTTCTTTATGTAAGTTTATGAGAAAAAGGATTTTTATTTTAAAGTTCTTAATTTTGGTTTAACTTCTTACATGAGCATCGTCATTGAGCTCACATTGTCCAAATCATTAAAACGAATACACCTCTGGTGCTGGAGGCAAGTCTATTCAGAGTGATGTTACCCATAGTCTGAGCTTCAGCAATATTGATCTGTGTTGTTTGTCTAATAGAAAAATAATAAACAATTACTAGGCAATGTTGGGAAAAGTAATCAGTTTTTATATATCACTAATACAGCAGACCTCCCCAAACATAAAGGTGATGATCTGCATAAAAGCAATGTGCTATGCTACACTGCTTTCAGCCATCGCTGCAGGGTCTCAGCAATAGATGAGGTCAGAATGGCTGGTAAACGGAAAAGGTATATGGAAAAAAAAGCCAGACTCGCCATTTCTAATTTATAAATTTATTTTAAAAGTACCCATTTTTCCTAAACTTGGAGATTTTAAAATCATAACCAATTATCTTCTAGGCTGGCAATACCTGAGGTACATGAAATATCTTCACTCTCTTTAGAATAAACACAAAGCAACTTCAAGTCAAGATATCAAATAAAGCCTTGGATCAGAAAAATATTTACAAAATGAGCTAAAAAATAATTCTCATAGGTGCACAAATATATGTTTGCACTAATTTGCTAGAAGCATCTACATTTCATCAAAATATATGAAACATTACTCAAGTATACAAAATACAAAAAAAATAAATAAGGGTTGTAACAGGAATATGGCTTTCAGTAGAATCCTCACATTCTAGAAAAAACGACTAAATTTTAATAATGAAAGATCTTTAGCATATGATCTAGCTTTGAAACCTTTGCGAACTACCTGAATGTGCTCCTGGTGTCCGTCACACCAGTTCCAAGTTACCGTAGAGAGAGAGAGATAAAGAGCACAGGTTTTAGTACTGACATAGTAATATTCCTTTTAAGAAGCTCAAGAATAACAAATAAGATGATTCAAAATCTATCTTCTCAAGAACACTGAAGTTTTTACTTTCTCTAAAATTTTTTTCATTAATTTACAAATGGTAGAAGCAAGATGTTAAAGATTACTTAGCAGTGGTTTCTTCCTTAACAAATAAACTCCGAATTTCAATCGTAGACTATAATGGTTAGGTGTGTAACAAACACTAAAATCATATACATTGCACAGAATTTGCACAAATATCCCACGGCAACCTGAAAACTGTCACAGAAGAATGTTTGCTTAAATACTTGTCTCTTGAAAAAAAGACATGGAAGCCGGGTGTGGGGTCTGCTGCCCATGGCAGGGAACATTACATGCAGAGGACAAGTGAACTTACCACAACTGGAAGCTGGCAGTCTGAGTTGAATCACAAAAGTCAATACCCATTGAAACAGTAATGGATCCCTCAGGCTCAAGAGATTCTAGGAAATGAGATAATTTAGACATGAAAACACGGAGAACGTAAAGAGGCAAACTAAACAAGGAGAATGTATGTGATGCCTGTAGTTAAGTTAGGACAGTCAAGTTCTGCGATGGCTTAGAAATTTCTCCAGCGAAGAATATGGAAGCAAGTTATAAAGTGACCCCATTACCCCGTTTTAAAGTCTACTCATTTTTCAGGGGTGGGGGTAGGGGTTAGATCAGGATTTCGTGATATTGCTTTTTGGTTGTTTTTCTGTTGGTTTGTAAATTGCTAATCAGAATTAAAAATAAAAACAAAAACGAAAAGGACTTCTGTCACACGTGGGGTCTCCCTGATTGAGAACTTAGAAGCTAGGCCTCCCTCTACCCAGCACCACACTGCAGTAGGCTGAGGGCACCCCTCTCTCTGCGGCAACCCTTCTCTCCCCTCTTTTCTTAGTTCCAGGCATGTGCTAAAAACATCGCTACTTGGATTCTTCTCTCCCAGCCTTAGATTTTAAAATTATGTTAAATACCGGGTATACACGTGTATAAGCCACGTTTTTCATGCAGTTTTGGTGGTATAATTAGGTGCCTCGGCTGATAGTCGGGTTGGCTTATACTGGAGTACTAACAGTATGTGAGTTAGGAGAAGGCTTTGAGGGGCAGTTGAAGTCGCTCACACCGAGTCCTTCCTCCCCAAGAATGTACAAACACCCAATACTGTTTCTTGAGCCTGGCTACCTGCCCCCACCCCCACCCCAGTGTTATGTGGCTGTCACCCCTTTCCTGGGGAGACCAATGACGAGGTTTTGTTTCTCACAACCTAATTCTGCACAAAAGACAATGAACAGATCCTATCTATCTGCTTCAGAAACCCTTCTGTTCTTGTGAAATCTCCTATTTTTAAATGTCGTCTTTACAGGCATTGAAGGTAAAAAAGAAAATAAATGGCTCGCTTGGAACCACCGTCATAAACTTTGGAAGTTTGTAAAAGATTACAAACTTAGAACTAAAAACTATTTACATATAAAAAGTCAACGTTACACAATTTTCACATACCCATGCTAAACACGAGTGGGCTTAAAAAAGTCTCTGAACGAATTTCATTATCTTTTAATTTCATTTCCCCACGAGCTTCTTGAATAAAGGCAATGCAAGAGCAGCTCCGGAGTGGGTGTGTTTGGACTGTGGTTCTGGGCGAATACTGACAGTGCTGTGGGCGGCTAACAGGACAGCTGCTCTGCCTTGGGATGTGGCCCGAGAGTTCTCTGGAGGCAGAGATGGTGGGACTGTGCCTTACATGTTTTGGACATGTTGTCGGGAGAGACTAGTCTCTGGAGAAGAGCATCTTGTTTGGATACGGAGAGGCGCAGCAAAAATAGAGGAAAGTCCTCAACGCGATGGACTGACACGTGGCTGCAATGACGGGCTCAGACACAGGAGCAACGATTGTGAGGATGGCGCAGGACCTGGCAGTGTGTCCTTCTGTTGTGTGTACGGTCACTATGGGAGGTGACAGACTTACTGGCACTTAACAACATATATAGTAAGGAGTTCAGAAGTAGTATCCAAATTTCTATATACCTAATTTGGTTATCTTCCCAATTTAGTAGCCTTTAATTAGGAGCCCTAGTGGTGTAGTGGTTACATGTTGGGGTGCGATCCGGAATGGTTGGCAGTTCAAAACCACCAGCAGCTTCTTGGGAAAAAGACTGGGTTTCTACTTCCGTAAACAGTGACAGTCTGGGAAACCCATAGGGGGGCCCTATGAGTCAGCATGGACTTGATGGCAGTGAGTTAATTATTCTGGACATCCATTATACTGGTAATTTTATGCTGATCATTTTGTCTTATTGCTTCCCTATTTTCATTGGAAAAAAATCAAAATTTTAAAATGCAATTAAAGCAAAGATGCCGTGCTCACAGAAATTAATCAAGAGAACTAGCATTATGGAAACACAAATAAGTCTGATTGCATTCTTCAAAGGATTACTAAAAGAAAATGTAGTAACAGATTAGACTGACTTAACAAAACAAATAATTAAATGACCATAGCTTTGGAATTTCTGAAGCTTCATTACCAACACCCAAGTATGGGGAATAGTTACATCAATTTACAAATTCCTCCATTTTCCAGCCAACAAATATAAAACAAATGAAACTAAACAACAAAAATAATTTCATTCTGTTTATGGACCCAATTTGTGGCCATATATTAGAATAAGCTGAAGAACTTAAACACTGTACACATACTTGTACAAGTATGTGGAATTCCTGAGTGATGCAGGCAGTTAATGTACATACCTAACCCAAAGGTCAGAAGTTCAACTTGGTGATGATCTACTTCTGAAACCCAGGTACTAGAACCCTAAGAGCTCCAAGAGTTGGAATAAACTCCATGGCTACTGGTATGGATGAACTCAAAACTTGACTCGATGCTATGGTGCTCAGTATCTTTAGTAAATTGTGGCCGTAGTACTGTTCTATTTAGCTTTATCTATTTTGTATACGACCAAAAGGTTGGATGTTCAAACCCACTAGCTGCTCTGAAGGACAACGATGAGGGAGCCAGCTTCCTCATACATAAAGATGTACAGCCTCGGAACCCTACGAAGGTCTACTCTGTCCTACAAGGTAGCTAGATGTGTGACAGAGTAGACTTGACGGCAGTGGGTTTAGCTGTTGGTATTCTATATTCCTCTTGTCAAATGCAACTGCGATGTGAGCAGGCACCACATCTAATCTGAAAGATGCCAACCATGAGAGAGAGGAAGGTTCAGACAGCCCCAAGGGATACCTCAATAAATAGGCTTATATCCGTGCTTCATGGCCACTGAGTTAATTCTAACTCAGAGTGATCCAATAGCTCTCTCCCTCATTCCCTGTGGAATGGCTGGTAGTTTTGAACTGGTGACCTACAGTTAGCAGCCCACAGTGTGACACACTACGCCACCACAAAATCAGGCATTGTAACAGGGCCTTAGTTTCACGTTGATTTGAAAGAACTACTGGGTTGTTCAATAGTATACTGGTTTGTCGATTCAAGTTTGGATCTCTTTTTTATAAGCATAACATGTACCAGGATGTTCACATGTCAGACCACCTGTTGCCTAAATCTTGCTCAAGCAGGTTTCACTAAATAACAACACTTTTCTTTCATTTCTCTTAAAACTACCTGCTGCCGCCATTTCCTGTCCCTTTGCCTAAGGCTTTTCTCTTGTAAATCCTTACTGCTCTATTGATATGCTAGAGCTTGGTCTAGTTGGTAGGCTCACATCACACTGGGAGCAAATACCATCACATCTCCAAAACATGATGGCATTCGAATTATCTCTCTCTACATCATGACTCGCTGTACATCACTCGACAAAGTGACAGCTCTCACGATGTCTTGTTGATAGCACTCTTTGACAGTTTCGTACTGCCTTCCGTCTTAAGATAATTAACTGCTGGCTAAGTGTCAGGTTACTGCTGGAGTGAGTTCATAGTCATATACATATACACACACACACACACACATATAAAATCAGATGCTGCATCTGAATTCTCTGCTACTTTCTTGAAATGGTTCTGTAGGAACGGCTGAAAACCCTGGCTCTTGGGAATGAAAAGGAAAATCATGCAAGATGCCATCTACTTTGATGTGACAGTTGTACAGGAACTGGTGAAATCTTAGCTGAGCTCCACTGTTGCTGCAACTGCCACTGAATAAGACGTAGTGAGTTTATAGGCTAGAATTCATGTTTTTCTTTTATCTGTCACAAACTTCCATCTCTGTGGGAGCAAAAAATGGCCAAGAATAGCATGAGAGGTTACCTAGCTTCACACGAAAGGCTAGGCAAAAGGCATAGCATATTGTAATGAAGAGAAAAACAGATTAAACAAATATGGAAGAGGCTGAGTTCTTAATACACGCCTAGGCGTTTATGAAACACCAAGAGCCCTGGTGGTACAGTGGTCAAGTGGTCAGCTGCTAACCAAGTGGGCAGCGGCTTGGGCCCACCAGCCACTCTGGGGGAGGAAGATGTGGCCGTATGCTTCCATGAGGATTTATAGTCTGGGCAACCACGGGGCAGCTCTACTTTGTCATACAGGGCCATTCTGAGTGGGAATCAACTTGACGGCATGGGTTTGTTTGTTTGTTTAATTAAATGAAACCAGTATCTTCTCTCTCCTATTTCACAAATACACGAAAATACTGGACTTGTTTCTTATTACTTTATTAGATGCTGCAACCACTGCAATCTGTTAGAAGACACTAGGTAGTGTTGCACATAAATACATATCCATTTTATATATATATAAATAAATTTTAAATATTGGAGGTATTTGATATTGAATGAATGAAACATTATGGTGTTCCTAAGAAAAGTAAAGTCTATTACTAGTACTGAGACAATGGTATACCTTCATATTTTCTGTTAAGGTCATACTTTGAAATTTATTATATTTATTTCTTCTATTCTATATAGGCCAACAAAAGGTCAATGCATCAACTCATTATGCCAACTCAAGGATGTGTTAATACTATTCTAGTGTTTTAACCTTTGGATAACATTTCCGGTGTTCAGAAAATTCATCTATCAGCTACTTGACACTTCTTAAACTAAACTAAATTTTTAAGTATGAAAAAAAGGTTAGATTACTAGCAATAAAAAGGACGCAGACTTGGATATCACACAATTCCTTAGAAATATAGGAGCTTCACAAAACAATAAAATAAAAACCGGGGGACTTATTTTTTTTAATGGTGCCCGCCCCCCACCCCCTTCTCCCTATTATTATAGTCTGCTTTCCTCCTTACATGCTCCCCTTTGTTTTAATTATTGACGGCTTGGTCTCACATAGGTCGCTTATTAAAGAAGCGCAGTATTTATGGGGAGTCATTATTTTGTAAGCTGATCTATTATTAGCTACAAGGTGACCAAGGGTTAGTTTCAGTTCCGGGTGTGAAGCGTATTTCCAGGCAATAGTCTCGAACAGTCCTCTGGCCTCAACCAGCCGGGTAAATCTGCTGCTGTTTTTTCAAAATTTTGTACCTGAGGTTTGTTGCACATTTTTCTATCAGAGTCCAGTGACAGGCCGGGACTAGCGAAGCTGGTAGTGGCATTGAATACCATTTACTTCTCCTGGTTAAAGGGGGGACTTAACGATCCGATTGGGAAAATGGTGTGGACTCTGAAATCCACTTTCTTTAACTCCATTTTTCTTCACTTTGATGTCATATAACAGTCCCCAATATTTTATCCATTAGTGATGGTTTCTGTTCTTTGCGTAAAGACACGATGCCCAGAATGGCTTCCTTCACAGAATGTGTCGGGCAAACTCCCTGAGAATTCAGCACAGTCAAAGAGATGGGCTGACGAGGAAGAGCCTCTCTCCAAACCCAACGCCATGCCATCGAGCCAAGGCTGCCTTTAAGGGCCCGGCCCCCTGTTGGCTTCCTCCACCCTAGCTGTTTATGGAAGTAGAAAGCCTCGTCTAGGGGAGCCGCTGGTGGTTTCCAACTGCTGCCCAACTCATCACCACTACGTCACCAGGGCTGGTCATGAGAAACAAACCCAAATCCCCCAATCACTGCCATCTCATCCACTCTGACCCATAGCAACCCTGCAGGACAGGGAAGCACAGCCCCTGGGAGTCCCAGCGAATGTACCGCTTCGTGGTACCAAGGCTTTGGGGAGCTGGCAGTGGTTTAAACTGACGGAGCCAGTGGTTAGCAAGCAGCTCAACTCGTCACCACGATGCCCGGCTCCTCCTAGTCACAGTGCGCAGCAAGGAAAGAAGGCCGGCTATCAAGCTCGCCTCTGCTCCTCTGTAGCAGCACTAAAAGGACTTCCCTGGGGCTTTCTGACGGTAGCATTTTGAGGACAACAACGACACACGCCTTATTTCAGTGGTAACTGCGGTTTGCCTGCAGTTCTCCCAGGTGGGCCTAGGATGGCCTTCACTTACACAAGACAGAAAGAAAAGAGAGAGGCATTCAAAGGCACATTTTATATTTTAACTCAAAATAAGATAGTACCATGGGATACTTAAGTTTTGGCAAAATAATTTTAGAGAAAAAATGCTTAGAAAGGGGGTTATAAATACAGCAGTCTTCAGGGACCAGGGAGATATTGTAAATGAGAAAAGCAAACGGAATGCTAGAATAAATAAACAAAAATTTTAAAATGCAGGGGGTGGGGAGAATGCTAAATGGCAACTGACAGTTTTGTGGGGTAGGTAATTCAACGTGCTGGGCGCTGGGGTGGCCTGAAGAGAGCACACTGCCCCTAGAGATGCACCAGCTGGCTGCCCCACACAGGGGAACAAAGGGCTGGGACTGCCACGTCTTGTGTTATTTCCCTAAGGAAAGTGAGGGGTCTAGACTTCTGTTAAAATGTAAAAATCTCCTGACTATAAACGGCGACAACATAAAACACGAGTCCTACATGAGAAGACAGGCAGATTGTGATCGAGTGCATGGTCTCTAAATGAACAGGAAGGCCAGGGCTGTGCACATCCTGGCCCGTCTTCACTTTTCCATTTGTGGGATGTGAACGGGCACTGGCAAGGGTGATGTGGAAGGCACTGTATTCTGAAAGTGGAGCCCTGGTGGGCTAGTGGGCTTCATGTTGGGCTGCTAACCTCAAGGTCCGCAGTTTGAAACCACCAGCAGTCCCGAGGGAGAAAGACAAGGCTTTCTCTTCCAGTACAGTTACAGTCTCCGGAAACCCACAGGGGCAGTTCTACTCTATCCTACGGAATTGCTTTGAGTGGGAATTGACTAGATGGTAGTGAGGGCGAGTCTTCTAAAAGGCAGGTCCGTTTTCTTGCTTTTATTTATTTATTTATTTATTTATTTTATTTATTTAATTTCAGCTTTCTTGCTTTTTAATAGGCAATAAACTAACACAATGTAGAAAATCAAGCTGATCAGAACACGGGGGAAGATGACACAAACAAAGAAAAATGAGATGGCATTTCGTTTCTTCAGGCCTACCACCCTTCCATCCCTATTGGTTTTACTGTTGCTGGGGCCTGATTCACTAGGGGCAGAGAAGGGTATTTTTTGTATATGAAAAATTCAGTTGCAAATTGAAATGAACCACCTATAAGCTAATAACCGTTTAATATCACACCTATTTTATTTTTAAGATGAACATATTCAGTTACCAAATATCAAGTTTCAAAGGAAGATAAATATTTACCTATTGGGTTGAAAACATGCATTTGCATGCCTGCTGGAAGTTTTTTCTCCTCGATGTGAATGTTTTCGATCTTTCGATCAGTGGTGTTATTCAATGTTATTTGGACGGAAACCATCTTATCACTGAAAATGCACGGTTGTCTTGGAAAGGAGTAGTGGGCCGCCAGTCCTTTCCCACTCATTCGATGAAGCAGCTCGTGACTTGTCATCGGTACAAAGACAGGAGAGCTGACCTGTAGCACACAGGAAACGGGAAGGGGGGAAAAGATGAATGAGTGAACGTATATACTGATTCCCTTAGGAAAAAAGCACAACTTCCATGACATGTAACCATTTCCCTAATGGAGTATGCGAACCATATTAACACACACTCGTAGGCCATCACATGTATAAATTTGACCCATACATTTTATAGAAGTGTAAGCAAACACCTTCAAAACAGAATTAATTTTTTCCCTAGACTGTACAAGCATGTCTTACTATATTTTGACAATACTAGCCAAATAAGAAGAAAGCAATCTGCTACTTAAATATACTCAATTTTTTAAACGTTGGCAAACATTTTGCTAGTGGCTCTCCACTCCCTCCACACAGGTACTTTATTTTTGGCCATCTTGTTAACTTCCTTAGTTGTTTTTCAAACTGTAAGACCACATGTTAAAAAAAATAATTAAATTAATGAGCCTCTCCAATCTTAACTTCTTGAACTATGCTCACCTTGAATTTCTTTCACCTTACATAGAAGGCCATGACTTCTTCACTTTAAAGTAGTTTTTTCCTACTTGTTTAAATTATCAAAAACAAAAAGAGATCAGATTACTAATTTACATTTTTTCCCTAGTTTTCATGGTTTAAATTTTAAAAATATTAGCTAATATTAGTGCTCGAACGTGGCATTGACTTTAGTAATTGACTCTACTCTTAGTTATTTTTCTCTATTCAGCCAATATTTATCCCAGTTGATTCCAAAGATTAGCCAGATCATTTAGAGATAGATGGCTAGGAAACACATTCAGCTACACTTCCTCCGCCCTAGATGAAGTACTCATACAAAGGTGACTATTTTGTTGTAAATGTCAGGTTTTTGTTTAAAAAAAAAATCCTGGAAAAATGGAATCAAAAGATCATGGAATTTTACCACAGACTTTCTGATGGCCTCTTTTATAATTAATCCTGACAGAGAAAGGAGACTCAAGCTCAACCATTTGCCCATCAGATTAGATACTTGCTCTCCAGAAACAAAACACATGATCTGTGACACCGTACATTCCAAAATGCTGAACGCAGTGAATGGACTCTCTGACTTACTACTTTATAATTTTCTCATTGCTATTAAAGGTAAACGGCAGCGTAATGAAAGGATGACGTGGCCCAGTGCCGTCCTTACGATCTTTGCTACCGGTTGCAGCCATTGTGTCAGTCCACCTTGTGGGGGGTCTTCTTTTCCAGTGACCCTGAACTCGACCAAGCACGATACAGCCTTATCCTGGGGCCAGACTCTCCCGATCAAGTCTCCCAAATCTGTAAGACGAGAAGTCTCTGGCTGTACTTGTTCTTCTGGCAGTCGACACACTCAATATCCTCCCCAACAGCACAATTCAAAGGCACCGGCTCTTCTCTTGTCTTCCGTGTTCACTGTCCAACAGGCCTGAACAAAACAAATTACCCAGAGCAGCGCATAGCAAGCTACAGCCTGGGATCAAATACGCCAACGCACCTGTTTTGACAAAGTTTTAGTAGAACACAGCCAAGCTCATTTGTGTATGTCTTGTTTACAGCTGCGTGTGTGTGTGTGTGTGTGTGTGTGTGTGTGTGTGTATACACACACATACGAGATAATGACTGAATTGAATAGTTGCAAAGCCTAAAATATTTACTATCTGGGCCCTTTGCAAAAGAGAACCAATATGAAACCCTCCTCTCCCACTTGCCTTCAGGCAGGTGGGGAACAATTCTGCACAGGCCTCTTGCATTCTCTGTGGTTTTCTGAGCAAGGGCATTCATAGGTCTTGCTCCAGATCATCCTTTCAGTATGTCTGTATAGCAAACTACTGCTGGAAGACAGAAGTAAGTGCTTCTCTCGGGAGCTGGGGACTAAAGTGTTTGCTTTCCAGAATAATAAAAATAACATCTTGCCTCTCTAGGTAAAGTTTAGAGAGGTTTCCTAATAGTCCCCTATAAAAGGCTGACTTTCTACACTCAGTCCCCTTTCTTACAGGGCCATACAATGTGGGACAAGGCAACATCTGGCCTTCCAAGTGCTGCCCTAAAGGACCCAGCAGTTGGGGAACAAGTGATGCCATCCTGGCTACTGCTATTGCTAGGACTAATAAATTAGCCTTTTGTCTCTGACGTGGCAATTACACATCTTTTGCCAGTATTCATGAAACTGAGGCAGGCTAACGTATTAGCTTTAAAGTACAGTAACATCTCAGACCCTTCACTGTTTTTGATTTTACTTATTGTCATTGAATGATTCTTAGCTTGTGTATTTTAAATGGCTAAATTAATACTTAGAATCATAATATATAGCTGCACAAGGGCAAATGACTGAAGGAGTGAACCGAAGTTAAAATCCAGCTTACATGCAAGGGCACCTTTTTGGAATGTGCTCACTGGTATCTTGAGAACACTACTTTAGAGTCTTATTTTCTTTCTTTTCCTTTGGGAAAGCCCATGCTATGATTGGTTGTTTCTATGGATTTCTGAAGTTCATGAAGGGTTCTAACAGCTGACAAACAAACTATAAAGTAAGCTCCATGAAAGTGAAATATAAGATAAATGAAGGAAAACAGCTGACTAGACGATGTCAAAGGTGGCTGGAGCAGACAAAGCCTAGTATTATCATGAAATGCATCAAGACCAGGAGTTGGAAAAGGAAAAGGAAACGACATACTCGGCATTTCTCTGGAAGAACTGGAGAAAAACACCAAGTCTTAAGCTAAAACACTGAAGGATCTTACAGGCAAGATACTACACAATTCCCCGCAGGAAGCATCAAAAGAAGATGGAAGGAATACACAGAGTCCCTGTATCAAAAAGAATCGGATGATATTCAACTGTTTCAGGAGACAGCATATAATCAAGTACTGATGGTACTGGAGGAAGAAGTCCAAACTGCATTGAAGAGACCCACGTTTGTGTCCATTACCAAGAAAGATGATCCATCAAATTGATGTGAAGGAGCCTAGACAAAGTGGAGACCCCAAACCCACCTGTAAGATCATTGGACAGTCCCTCACATAAAATCTACACGGAAGGGATGACATATCCAAGGTGTGTATAGCACTGATGAAACACATAACTATCCTCTAGTTCTTTAATATTTCCTCCCCTTACTATCATGATCTTTGTTTTACCTCATTCATCTTGTTAGAGCTGCATATGTTCAATTGTATAGTAAATTCATTTGATGCATGAAAGCCAAGATAGATAACCCTTCAGAAATAGTAACGGGAGTAAAGATTCCCTGAGGGTACTGGAAGAGAGCTGTGGGGAAGGGAGATCTGATAGGAACGATGACTGTATAAACCCACTTGAAGGGTACAAAAAGCAGAATTGTAGGTAAACATATACATTGGATGGTGTAAGATACAGAAAAAAAATAATAATATATATAATACATATAATATAAAAAATAAGGGTTCCTTAGGAGTAGGGTGAAGGAGGGAGGGGATAAAAGGGAAATGATATCAAAGAATTCAAGAAGAACACGTTTTGAAACTGATGGTGGCAGCAACTGTACAATTACAGTTGATCTAATTGAATTATGGAGTTATATTACCTGTTAGAACTCCCAATTTAAGTCATTAAAAAAAGATTTATGAACAAAGGTGACCCAACAGAATGTGAAAATTCTTGAATATTAATATCATACTCAAGTTTTGCTGACAGTAGTAGTAGTGATAATAACAAAAATGGTTGCATCAGTACCGCAACAGGGAACTACCAAAAATTCAATTCAATTCGGAAGAGGACATGGCACAAGGACATTGCTGATGTCAGATGGCTCTTAGCTGCAAGCAGAGAACACCTGAAAGAGGTTTGCCTGTGTTTTATTGACTCTACAAAAGCACTCCACAGTGTGGCGCCTAATAAATTATGGATAACACTAGGGAAAATGGGCATTTAAGCACACCGATGTGTGCTTACAGGGACCCTGTATTGGCACGGACCAAAAGGCAGTTATTGAATAGAATGGGGGTTTACTGCATGGTTTAAAATATGGAAAAGTGTACATCAGGATTGAATCCTTTTAACATACGCATGCTTATTCAGTCTGTGTGCTGAGCAAGTAACCTGTGCATCTGGACTGAAGAAGGAGGCCCAAAGAGTGTAGAAAGATGCTGACACAGCGTTGCTTGTGGAAAGCCAGGAGCACTTGAAGCACCACTTCCTCATGTTGATCAAACACTACATCCATCCATCAGTACGGATTCCACACCAACATAAAGAAAACGAAATTACACACAACTGAGCCAGTAAGCAAAACACGAGAAACAGAGAAAAGACTGAAGTTGCCAAGGATTTCACTTTACTTGGACCACAATCAACACCCATTGAAGCAGCAGTCAAGAAATAGAACCACGTATTGCACTGGACAAATATGCTTTGAAAAACTTCTTCAAAGTGCTGACGCCCAAAGATGCCACTTTGAGGACTAAGGTGCAGCTGCCCAAGTCACGGTCTGTTTGTTTCTCTCATATGCACGCAAATTCTAGAAAGTGAATCAATTAGACTGGAGAAGAATGGATGTATCTGAATGGGGAAGAATATTGAAAGAACCACGGACTGACTGCCAGATCAACGAATAAATCTGTCTTGAAACACGTCTAGCCAGAATGGTCCTTGGAAGCGAGGATGGAGAGATGTCGCCTCACTTGCTTTGGACATCTGATCAGGAGGGTCCGCTCCTTCATGTTGGTGACCTCGTGGGAAGCAGGAAGACCCTCGGCGAGATGGACTGACACGGTGGCTGCCACGATGGACCCAAACAGAGCCAGGATTGTGAGGATGGTGTCGGCTTGAACGGTGCTTGGTTCTGGTTTATATACCGGTAACACTAACTTTAGAAACATCTGGATTTAGGTATACGTGTTATTCCCATTAAATATTACAGGGTACATAAGCAGGACAGAATGAAAGAAAGTGTTTACAAAATTCAGTTTTGATTTAACTGCTTAACTATTAATGTTCAAAGAATTAAAAACCGAAGTGCCCTATAAGCAATTGA